TTCAAAGCATGATGATGGAAAGTGAATAGGAAGACTTTGCAATTTCAACAGAAGAATTTTAAACAAGTTCAAACACTGCTGAGTAACCACCAGTGGAGAAAACAATGGAATAATAGAAAATCTAGATAATTTGTCCTTCTACACTGGCATAATTTTTTTTTTTTTTGCAGAATTATCTGCAGAAGATGGAAGTTTCACACCTTCCCACATGCCTTAGACAAATAATTCAGGTGCCTGTACTGGAAGGATTTTCCATTGCCATCCTAAAAGTCTCTGTGTTGCCCTGTCTGTAATGGGCAGTGGAAATATTTTGCTTCCTCTTTGCTGTGCCATTTTTTCACATAAGAAATCTGTTCTATCTTCCCTCAGTCATGCTGCCCCAGGAAATGTACATTCAAATACAAATAGTAAAGAAAAGCTCCAGGGGCAAAGCTTGCCTATTTAATAGGGTAATGCTGAGGTCAGTGAAGATAAGCAGGGAAAGAAGAAAGCGAAGGTAAAATCCCTCCAGGATTCTGGGAAGAGAAACACTGGGTTTGAGAAATGGATATAACAAAATATAATACAAGTTTGGAGTTGTTGAGTTTTGTTCCTTTCATTTCTTTGTGGTTTGTTTTGTTTTGTTTTTGTTGTCGTTGTTTTGTTTTGTTTTAACAAAACTGAAAGAGTAAAGGAAGTTGATAAAGCTCATATTGTGATGTTCCTGGAGCTTGGGTGAATGTGAAGGCAGATAGAGAGTGCTGGGTTCTTAGGGGGTGGTTAAGTAAAGGTGGTTAGGCCACTGTGGTTAGAAATGTGTGTTTCTACATCCATTTTGTGTTGGTTTTGCTTTATAGAGGAGCTTGATTGATAACTTTTGCTGCAAGGAGAGAGAGACAAGAGGCCTGAGCCTCTTTTCACTAAGTTAGATCTTGTACAAATGCACGCTCTATTACTTAGTTGCATTTGCAATTGCTTAATTTGGCACCATCCTCAGCTGAGAATTTTTCATTGGTACTGATGATTCAGATTTGAGGAAATGGGCTCCTCAGCCTCCCATCAGGGAGAGAGGCACAGAGGAGGATGGCTGGCTGCAGGGGAAGGAGCAGCCATGCTTTAGGGACAGCAGTGGCATGGGTTCACATGGGGTTTCAGAGGAGAGTGGGCAGGGAGATGTGCAGGAAGCAGAGGGGCAGAGACACAGCTGCACTTGGACCAGGACACTTGATTTGTCAGAAAGACTCAACAGAAGGTCTCCAAACCAGTGAGAGTCAGCGTCTGTGTGAGCTTTCACCTGCCTGGAGAGGGCACAGAGGGGCTGCTGTAGATCACACCTGAGCCCACTCTTCTCTTGGGAGTGCAGGTTTCCAGCCTTTGCAGCACTTCTGGGCTGAGACGCTGATCAGCCTCTGCTGTAGAAAATTGGTTGTTCATTTAGTGCTGCTTCCTCTTTACCTGCAGCAACATGAAAGATTAGATGTAAGACTTGCCCAACACCATGTGTTTTGTGGTGCAGTTAACACAATCACCTCAGAAATGCTGAAGGAGCACTTTTCAGCAATTAAATTTATTTCATAATTTTCAGACCTAGTTCCATCATAATATTTGAAAGATAGTATGCAGGCAGTCATGAAATGGTTGGAGAAAATCTCTTTTAGAGAATTAGTTTCAGTTCTTTGGAAACTGGGTAGTAGGAACCATGCTGAAAAAGAGTGGTTAAAAAAGTGAGATTCAAAATGGCTAAGGTCTTTTCTTCAAAATGACAAATAGGTACTGGTGACTCTGCATTGCTAATGAGATACATGTCAGTCATGGGGAGGTGTGCACATATCCATTTTTGAACAGCACAGCACACAAAGAAAGATCTTCCCTGAGCTTTGAACGGACAGCTCCATGAAATGCAAAGCCTGGTCCTGGATATGACTGTAGGTAACTTTGAGCTTAGACCTCTGCAGTAGTTCCTGAGGTGTGAATTTCATTGTGTGACCCAGTAAACCACCTGTACGTATGGATGTGCATTTGCTGTACTGCAAAGCAGCTGGCTGCTGGCTGTTGTTAAGCAAGACTCATATTTCAGCAAAGAACAGAACCATCCAGTGCAAGGAAAGCTTCTAAATGATGTCATGTGTGCATGACAAAAACACATCTTCCCAGGCTTTGTAGCTTTGCCAGTGCTTAGGATCTGTATAGGTTATTTAAAGCTTCCAGAAATGTGCCCTTGGTTTAAACAGAAGAAGGGGCGATAAAAAGGTATATAATTGATGCTCAGTACATCAGGGTATACATTAAATTTACACATGGTTTTAAAATTAATTTACATCAGGGGTGAGATTCAGCTCTGGACTGGCACCTGCACTTCGGTGTCTGTGTGTAGTGTGCTGTGAGCCAGGGGGAGTTGGACCTAATGTCAGGGGAGCCTGGGGAATAATTCATTTTAATTCAATGCAGAAACCTCCTGGCTGAAAGTGCAGCAGCCACAAAGCATCTATATGCTTGTGTCATTTCCTAAATCAAATAATGTACGGCGAGGAAATAATATATAAAAAATTGAATTGTGTGGTGTCAACATTAAATGTTCTCATGAAGTAGAAGTAGATGATAAATAAGAAGTTCTAACTTTCCTGAAAATTTTCATACTGCTAGTAAGATGGCCACTTTATTTATTATACATTATCCTCTTACCTGTTTGTTAGATACATTGACTCACCCTTCTATGTTTTCATTACATTTTAAACCTTTTTTGGAAAGCAGTAAAAAGGAGGATAATTTTGTGCATCAGAATGAAATTTGTAATAATCCAATTATTTATAAAAACAATTACTGATACATTATATGACTATACATCAAGATCCTGACACTGTTTTTTTTCCTCAGTTACAACATTGAAATTAATTTTAAAACATTGCAATATAATTCTCAAAGAACACAAAGTTCTTGTCCAAAAAAATATGAATCAAATCCATTATGCATATTTTACAGACAAATTTAAACGTTGACATTTTCTCTTTATGTTTTCGTTAAATATATTTTGTCAGTAAAGAAGCTGAAATATGCAATTTTTCAAAAGATCAATAATTGATGTGATTTATGGTTCTTAATTAATCCTTTATTGCTTTCAGAGGGATCAATTGAATGAATAATGAAGTTAAATTAATTTTTCATATTTACTTGTCTTTATTTTTAAAAAATATCTTAATCTTTTTTTTTCACCTGGATAAGGTTTTTTAAAATATTAGCTAATGAGAGGAAAGGGCAAGTTATCCTAATTTTCTCTATCAATGGCTTTTTGGCATAAAATGAAAAATGAATGGAGGACCAAGGGGAATCATCCTTTATTGGACGTGGAAAGAAGCATAGAGACAAGGGATAAGGAAAAGTCTGAGGTACTTAATGCCTTTTTTGCCTCAGTCTTTAGTAGCAAGAGCAGTTGTTCTGTGCGTGCCAGTCCCCCAACCTGTAGCACGAGGATAGGGAGTAGAATGAAAACCCCATAATCCAAGGGGAAGTGTTCAACACCTGCTGCACAAGTTAGACACACACGAGTCCATGGGAATCCACCCAGGGGTACTGAGCGAGCTGGTGGAGTGCTCACCGAGCCCCTTCCATCATCTCCTGGCAGCCCTGGCTAACTGGGCACGTCCCAGCTGACTGGAAGTTGGCAAATGTGATTCCCATCTACAAGAGGGGCTGGAAGGAGGATCCAGGAAAGTTCAGCTTGAGTGACCTAATCTTCTATGACAAAGTGACCCACTTAGACGTTGTCTACCCAGAATTTAGTAAAGCCTTTGACTTAATTTCCCAGAGCATTCTCCTGAAGTGCCTGGCTGCTGATGGTTTGGACAGGGACACTGTTGCTGGATGAAAAACTGGCTGGATGGCCAGGCCCAGGGGATGGTGATGAATGGTGCTCCATTCAGCTGGTGGCTGGTCACTGGTGGTGCTTCCCAGGACTCAGTACTGGGGCTAGTCCTCTTTGATATCTTCATCAATGATCTGGATGAGGGGACTGAGGGCACCCTCAGTAGGTTTTCTGGTGACACCAGGCTGGGCGAGAGTGTTGATCTGCTGGAGGGCAGGAAGTCTCTGTAGAGGGATTTGGACAGGCTGGATTGATGGTCCAAGGTCAGTTGTGTGAGGTTCAATGAGGCCAAGTGTCAGGTTCTGTCCTTCAGTCACAACAGCCCCAGGCAGAGCTACAGGCTGGGGGCAGAGTGGAAAAGGACCTGGGGTGCTGGGCTTTGGCTGGCTGAGCATGAGTCAGTGTGTGCCCAGGTGGGCAGGAAGGGCAGTGGCATCCTGGCCTGTGTCAGCAATAGAGTGGCCAGCAGGAGCAGGGCAGGGATTGTCCCCCTGTACTCAGCACTGCTGAGGCCACAGCTCCAGTGCTGGGTCCAGGTCTGGGCCCCTCACCATGAGAAGGACATTGAGGGGCTGGAGTGAGCCCAGGGAAGGGAAATGGAGCTGGTGAAGGGTCTGGGGCACAAGTCCTGGGAGGAGCAGCTGAGGGAGCTGGGGGTGTTTAGTCTGGAGAAGAAGAGGCTCAGAGGAGACCTCATTGCCATCTACAACAGCCTGAAAGGAGATTGTAAAAAGGTGGGGTTTGGTCTCTTCTGCCAGGTAACAAGTGACAGGGCAAGAGGAAATGCTCTGAAGTTGTGCCAAGGTAGGTTTATACAGGATATTAGGAAAAAAGTCTATAGAAAGGGTGTTCAAGCACTGGAACACATTGCCCAGGGAAGTGGCTGAGTCACCATCCTGGAGGTATTTAAAAGACATGTAGTTGTGGCACTTAGGGACATGGTTTAGTAGTGGACTTGGCAGTGCTGGATTAGTAGTTGGACTTGATGATATTAAAGGTCTTTTCCAAACTAAACAATTTTATGCTTCTCTATGGTGTTACACCTCTCACATATTTTTTTTCTCATCCCCTGATTCCCCTGTCCCTTTAAAATATTCCTATTAAACACTTCCCTGCTCTTGATCTGATTCTTTTTTCTGAAATCTTTCACATCTTGCTGAAGATACCCCGGATAATCCTCACACGCCCTTCCACTTCTGATGAAGATGCCGACCAGTTGCCCCCAGACCCTGAGGACTTTGAGCCCGAGGAGCCTGACAGCGCAGAAGGCCATGCCTATTCAGACTGTCTGAGCAGTGCTTTTTATCCTCCCTAATAAAGTACTTTTCTGGCAGGAGTTGATGGGTGGTTTTCTTTCCCATTGTTTGATTACATTTGATGTAGTACTTGAACCGCTATGCCTTATTTATAGTGAAAACCATTACGTGGAGGATGGATTTGTGAGGAGAACCCTCTTTGTATTTCTTTGCCTTGAACTTCCTTCAGCAAGACCTTGTGAACCTGGAATGAAATGCACTGGGTCAAGTTTTGTGAATGTCACCACATGTTTCAGTCGCCACTTGTAAAGGTACCCTGCAGCAACTAAATCACCAGGTGATTTTTATTCAGAAAGTACTTTACCCATTTGGAAACACAATGAAAGCAATTGTATAGTCGGGTGGGATTTTTAAAGTCTTGTGTCCATGATTTGTCTATACAGCTCATCCTTCTATCTTCCCCTAGGTTCCTTTGATTTGTCCCTTTTAATGTCCTTTTCTATGAGAATTTAAAAAAAAAATCTGTCTTTAAATCGTCCTGGTTTTTTTTTTTTTTTTTTTTTTAAACCCACTGAGAAATGTTATCTGTGTTGGAATTCTGTATCTCATTCTGTTGTAATAAAGAACAGTTTCTCCAGTTATATCAGTAATGTGAATGTATATCAGATTTGAACAGGACCTGTAGGTTGTATTTTATTAGATCCAAATGCAGGAGGCACCTTATGCAACTATGTACCTGAGAGTGAAGAGAGAAGCAATTTCTTATGCATGAAGAACTGTCTGAAACTTGTTTGTTTCCCCTGACTTGCATATAAGCAGAACACTTAATTTGCCTTACTGCAGTATGCCTGAATTTCATGTATATATGTGTGTGTGTGTGAGGTAAGCATTTAAGAGCAAATTGTCCTGTACAACACTTTTCAATCCTTTAATTCTCTTCACTGTTATTCAGTGCATTGGTTTCTAATGCATTTAACCTGTTTAATAACACCTGTTTGGGACTGTTCTTTTTCAGGGGTTCTACAGTGCTGCCTTAACTCAGAAATGGGGTCTGGCCCTGCTAGATTTGAATGCCATGACTTTCTTTTCATGTACATTAAGTGTGCATTGATGGTTTTATGACGTTTATACAGTTTATTTTCCTGTAAATGTAGTATAACACAACCCAGTGACCTGGTAAATGCTCATATTTTATTCACATTCTTGAGAAAGATTTCTCAGGTGGTCATTCATAACTTCAATGCTGGTAGTTGACTTTTACAGAATTAGAAAGTTCCCAGGAGGGTATGGCTGTCACAAAGAGAACAATATCTCCTACTAACAAAAGGGATATTTTATTTTGAAAAGATGGATTTGTGCTAACAGAATTATACCAAGTCAATGGCATTCACTTTGGTTTTTTATTATCTTGTACATCTGCATTTTAATTTATGATAGTAATAGGAATATTAAGCTAACTTCATTCATTTGCAAAATGAACATTATCTTAGAATCTCCTATGACTGTAATATTAAAGACTGTGTAATGTGCGTAAGCATAGGCTTAAATGATATTGATAAATGAAATTTTATTTAAAATATTTGTTTTCCATCTCTTTTCTTCCTCCAAAATATACAGGGTTTTTCCACTATGACAATGTTTGATCAATGCATGTTGCAAAAATATCAGTCTCAGAACCCACAAGTGCTTTGGCCCTCTATCTAGTAATGCACCATTTGCTACTACTTTATTGTGTCTTACGAGACTGCAAAAAAACCCCACAAACCCTCAGCTGTTATAAATCAGCCTTAGATTGCAGAATAAGTTGTAGTTGAAAGCTAGTAAGAGTTCTGTTGAGAACTTGGTATTTTCTTCCTTCTTACTTCCCATGCACAAGTGTTTTAGATTTTCCATTAGATCCTGGAAATCAAAACATTTGCTATCAAAATGACAAACTTTTAATCGAATGCTGTCGCCATTCAGGTAAGTTTTAAAGAGTGAGATTTTTATCTGTCTGTCTTCACTGATTTTCAAGGCAAATTTCATATTGCAGTGTTGAAAATTTTGCTGTGAGTACAAACTTATGGTGGTAACACTCTCTATGGACATGCAGCTCTACAAAAGATATCAATCAAAGCCTATGCTTATTCAAGCTTTCATTAAGAAGAAAAAAAAAACAGTGACAGTTGATTATGTTTTGCTTTTGCTCTGTGAAAGAGGAGCAGAGGTAAAGGTCAGATGCTGGTGTCCTTATCAGCACTGAATAAAGTCTCTTGAGGTTTGGCTGTTTGATAAGAATGGGCAGAGACAGAAGGTGGAGAGGCTCAGTGGGAGCTGCTCTGTTAATGACAGCTCATATCCTGTGTTCTCATTTCCTGCTGACCTGGGAGGTGACTAGGAAAAGCCTGGCTATGGACTACTGTTTTCTGTGGGGAACGGGCTTCTCCTCATTCTCAGCTGCCACATAATTTAAAAGATAGCTAGAAGGTATATAATTATTTATTAGTGTATTTCTTTAGCCCCATCTCATTATTGCTGCATCCACTGTTGTGGAGGAAGGCGTGGCAAACAGTACCAATCAATATGGGAGGGAAGATTTTTTTCTTTGTGCAACTAATCTATCGATGTATATTTTACAGCCCAGGATAATTTGGTTTGCTGGGATGTAGCAGTAATATTCAGGGACATCATGTATATAGCTGGAACAATGGATATCTGACTGAAAAGAAGTCTGTTGTTCCATTCCTATCTGTACTCCTGGAGGACAGTAGATGTAGGACCTTGCCAGCACAAGGATAGTCCACTTTAAAACAATTAACTTCAAAAACCTGCAGAGAGAATAATTCATGTACAGCTTCCCAGGATTGCCATGTCAGAAAAGGACCTGAGCTCTTGGAATCAATTTACTGTAATGTTGAAATAACCTTCCTTGTTTTCATCGTCAAACATAAGCAAACTTCTCTCTTTGGAGAATATTTGTTAAGGAGCCTTCTGCTCCCTGCACATGACATGCAGGACTCGCTTCCTCACGCACCAGGCAGAGACTTGTGGTGCCTGTGCTGTTTTCCTTTTTCCACACCTGCTGTCTCCTGCTCTGTGAGTGTTTGCAGAGCCAGCGGGGTGGACCAGGGAGTGACAGCAGCAGCTGTTGGCTGCTGTGGCAGGAATGTGGACCCATCTCTCCTAAGGATCAGCTTCCCACCCTTGGCTCCTGGCTGCCTGGAAGGTAAGCCTGCTTCATGTGCTCTCTCTGTAGCCCTGTCATGCTCTTTATTTCTGCAGGGATCCTGCCATGGAATACCAGCTAGAAAGGCTGCTGAGGTCCTGTCGTTCCAGGCGTGTGCATGTGACCTTGGGTGCCTGTGACCTGGGGTAACACAGGGAATGCTTGCTGCCAGGGCACCATGGGGCTGAGAGAAGGGTGAGCACCAGAAATAACCTGAGAAGCTCAGCTTCTGCTGGCTGCTGGACTGGCAGTTACAGAGGCACTCTACTGAGTTTGGTGCTTGCTCCTTTCAGCTTTTTGACTGAAGTGTGGGACAGAAATGCTCTCCACATTAGAGCTTTAAATATCACTGTGAGAGTAATTTCTGTATTAGTCTTAGGGTTTTTAACTTAAGTAAATGTGACTTAAGTAGTTGGTTTTCAACCGGTATGGTCTCATTGACCACATCAGGGTGGAATTAATACTTCTGTTGAATTCTTATGATGTGTCTGGTGCTGAGCAAATAAAAGCTACAGGCTTAGGAGAGCAGTAGTGCAGATGTGTGACGTGTGGTGCAGCCACTGGCTGGCAGCCCTGGGCTACTGCTGAGCCAGGCTGAAAATGAAAATGTGCAAATTTAAAGAACTGCAGGAGCCACAAGAGTGAAAACACAGCTGAGAGTGACACACAAACTTCATGATTGCATCACAAGCATTCACTTGCTTCCTTCTCCAGGAGCAGCAGATCAAATGAGCACAGAAAGCACATCTGTTTAAGTGCCTTATTTACACAATATTGTTATTTGGGATATTCAGCACTTGCATTTTACAAGAAAGCCCACAGCCCTCTCCATCAGCTTCTTTTGGCCTCTTGTTGTTTCTCTTCTACTGCTCTGAGAAGAGAAACAGGTGTCAAGAGATGAGTAACTGTAATAGAAAGAAGCAATTTGAAATAGCACAGTAATTTAGGCAATGTCTAGAACATGCTTTTTTACTTAGCACCTGTTTGCTCTGTTTCCCCTTGTGAAATAAAACAGGAAATATACAGTTACTAACAGTAACACTAACAGTGTCACAGAAAGTTCTTGGAGTAGAATAACCATTATTTCTCTGTAGGAATAAGAAATGCACTCTCATGATTATATGACAAAAAATTCTCAGATGGTTAGGATCATGGTCTTTCCTCAGGTTTGGTGATGAAATGCCATGCTGAGCAAGATGTGGTAGATAATAAGGTGATGTCAGCTTTTCTATGCTATCTCCAGGGTCCTTATATAATAGCATTCAGGCTACAGAAGAGCTCTGCATCCATTGTTTCCTGGGCTCCTTGATTTAGTGTGATGGCATGAAGTTTGGTGTCATATTCTCTAGAATTCATAGCCTTTTTTTCATGTTCCCATCTCCAATGCAGTTTGCTCCAAGTGCCTTGCAGTTGCACAGGCAGCGGAATGATGCATCCAGAATATAAATTCCCATTAATGAGAAGTGGTGATTCTCAAGTGAATCCTTTAGATGCTGTTACAAGAATGTTAATGGGAAACCCACTTGTGAAACAACATACTCTCATCACTATCTTATGTTAAAATTATTGAGTACAGTTCATGCCATAATCAATTCCTTGTGTCTTTCTGTAGTGATTGTTTTTGATATCAGAGGGTGAGCTGACACATGAGAACAGTATTAGACCCTGCAAGTAAAGACTATAAACATATTTGAATATTAAGTTCTAGGGTAGTTAGGATGAGTGCTAAATTACATGCAACATAAACACCAGATAAAAATCTGCCATGGCTTGCTTGTATACATCTCAAGTCCTTCATTCCTAGTTTCTTGCACCACTGAGAGCCTGCTCTCTTACCAACATGGATATCTGTTC